GGTCCTGTGACTGCGTGTCAGAGAGACAACTGTAATTACCACAAAGTGAAGCCTGACATCGCCCACTATGAGTCTTTAATGAAAGCCTTAACGGGTCTGAACACTGAGCTGCAACCCTTTCTCTGCATGGGAGGAAATCAGTCTCTCTGTCTGTCTGTCTGTCTGTCTGTCTTTCTCCCCGCAGCGAATTTCAGGCCCTGCGAGTGCTCCGACACTACAGCAGCCATGTTTTGCTTTGAAACCAATTCCATCTCCATTTTTTCAGAAGCCCATCAACATTTCTTTAGGTTGTTATTGCTACCATTGCTACGAGCTCTCATGCTAAAGCGAGAGTTCACTCCTCCCGACACTACGACGACGCATTTTCCGGTCAGCTAAAGTTATCAGAGGCATTCACACTAGCATTTTCGCCGGAAATGCTGGTGCAGAAGGATTGAACTGTTTAAATTTTACACTTTGCTTGTGTAAACTTTCAAGAAACAGACTGATGATGATGTCACAGCTGAACAGTCTGTTGCCATGGAGATCATATATTCTAAGAAACAAACTGATGATGTCACTGATGACACCATCATCATCGTTAGGTTTTAGCTGCTCTGTTTATGCATTTCCATTGGAACAGACCATCACAGCTTTCATTTTAGAGTTCTTTGTATCTGCCTGCTTTTGGGTTCATTCATCCCACGCCCGTGACACTAGAGACTGGTTCCAGAACCAGAGCAGTGCATCGAGGTGAGTCCGACTATATGTAGTCGAAACCTCTCAACCTCACACATCAGCAAAGGCTCCTTCCCCATCACCAACTTCTGTAGCCAAGGATTGGACGGCCAAGGTCCCCGGCCTCAACAAGTGCCCACCATCACGCAATGCAACCAACCCCTGTGGCCCCCCAACAGCATTTGGGGAAACTGTATGCATCAGAACATAACAGTGTTGTACAAGTCAGGTTTAGTTGAGGGTCCAGCTGTATCGTAATCCATAACGACGTTGTACAAGTCAGGTTTAGTTGAGGGTCGAGCTGTATCGTAATCCATAACAACGTTGTACAAGTCA